TTCCAATCACCTGAAGAAGGCCGGAACGTCAACGACCGAAAAGTTGTGAATATGGCAATGAAGATGAGGATGACAGTCCAAATAATGTAAATAATGCAAGTAATCCTAATACCTCATCTCAGAGATATAGAGGCCGAAACGTTGTGAATATGACAATGAAGATGAGGATAACAGTCCAAATAATGTAAATAATGCAATTAATCATAATACCTCATCTCAGAGATATAGAGACCGAAACGTTGTGAATATGGCAAAGAAGATGAGGGTAACAGTCCGAATAATGTAAATAATGCAAGTAATCATACTGGAACACTGAAAAAATACAATAAAAACTAGACAGATCTTGTTTGTATTGTTTTTATAATGATCTTCACCCAGTTCAAGTCCCAACAGCTACTCGAGGTGAGGTAGGAGGCAGAGTTTATGAAGATATGTGCGAAAGGTAAGGGTTGATACTAGACATACAGGTTAACACTGTAGTGATCGAGAAAGCGTCCGCTTGGGAGTCGGTTCGTTTCGTTGGAAAAAGCTGCTTGAGTGCAACTTACCTCACACTAATGGAAGACATTGTGTGAGAGGAGAGGTTGCAGAGTGAAAACATCCTCTTGAAAGTCGGCTCCACAGTGGTTCGTGGGAAGAAGGTGCTCGAGTGGAATACGAAGGCAATGGCTACAATGTATGTGACATGTCAGATCTTAGTCTTGAAGGTTAGAACTAGTGGAAGGAAGGAATCTCAACACATTCCATCGATATAGCGATAGAGCCGATAAAGTCCTGGAATTTGCCAGTAGGGGCCAGACAGGAGGAAATGACAGAAGAGGGAATAGTTACAGGGAGTAATGTAGTAGGAGTGGGCGGAGAGAGAGAAAGGGAATAATACCCCACATTACTTCCTGTAACTATATCATCTTTTGTCATTTCCTCCTCTCTGTCCCCTCTGATGTCCTCTCTTTCTTTCTTTCCCAAACTAACCAGTATCTTTCTACAAACTGATACCATAAACAGTTTGAAAAATCCTGCGAATTTTAAATTTTAAATTTGCAGGTGAAAATGATCAGTAACTAATGGTATCTTAATTACAACTGTACGACTATATATATATATATATATATATATATATATATATATATATATATATTATTCAGCATGACATTAGTGAGGCATGTGTTATTTTTGGCAGCATGTCCTTATTGTGGTATGTGTTATGAGACTACGGAATTTTTCCGTTTAATAATCTTTCTTTCAGTTTTTTCTTTGTTTTGTCGCAAGTTTCTTTATATTTGGGTCAAAGTTGTTTAAAAAAGACCCAGTCCTTTTTTTTTGCCGAACACTTTCGGTTGTCGTCAACCATCATCATGGCTGTATGTTTTGGTTTGAAGTAGGTTGCTTTTTATTTTTATAGATCGTGTTTTGATGTATTCAGCCAGAGTTGTTGGATTAGTTCATTAACAACTGGGAGGGGGTTGGTATTTATTATTTGGAGGATTAATTACTAAATATGTTTAAAATGTTTCTGCCAGTATTAAATACTATTTCATTTATAATTTTGATAATTGTAGCCATTTTTTTGTAATTATTTTTGTAGAGGATTTGAATCCATTATTAGTGGTACTGTGTGTTAAGGTAATTTTTGTGGCGCTGGTGTCATATAAGACGATGTAAGAGAGTTATGGTTGTGTATCCGGTGTATGTGCTAGGGTTATTATGTGAGAATTTACGGCTATATCTAGCAAGCACAACTGTAAATTGATGAGAACTTTCATTGCCAGTCTACTTTTCAAAGAGTCAAGGTAGCGGAAGTTCATAAATATTTTCCATGAAAATCTGAGAAAGTAATGAATAGATTTTTGATTTGTTGCATTTACATTTGTTGATAATGTTCTTTCATTTCCCGTTACTTTTAAAGTGGCGGTTCTAATCCCTTATATAAAGTCAGGGTCACATTTTTGTTTTTCTTTTAATTAGGGCCGCCATTTTTATTCTGGTCTGAAACGAATCTGAGGGCTTCTAGTTCTGTAGTGGAAAGTTTTACACTTGACTGGTAGTTGAATTTTTAAATGACTCTTGTCTACATATATATGTCTACACACGCTCACACACACGCACACACATATTTATAAATGTAAAAGACAATAGAAAAACTTTAATGGTATCCGACGCGTTTCGTCCAATGTGGACTTTTTTTTAGGCAAAAACGAAAGGAATTTATTCAACAAAGTAACTAATAATAACAAAACAAAATGTCCTTACCAACTTTTTCCCTATTTCACCTTTCCTAACAGAATTACTACTCTCCCAAGCAAACGTACAAAACAGTATCAAGAAATCAAAAGAAAATAGTTGAATCCGTCAACACAGCAATAAAAACAATATCTCCACACGTGACAGTAATTGACGTAATTTTCAGTTAACAGTATGAAAATAGCGTTCTCTAAATTCTTCACAACAATATCGTTGTTTTTTTTTAGTATATATATATATATATATATATATATATATATATATATATATATAATATGATAATAATATTATTTGGTAATTTGTATGGATCATTTCTTGTTTATAATAGGAACATCTGAAAAGGATAAATTGAAAATATTACGGTGTATCTCTCATATGCATACATGCATACATACATACATACACGCATACATACATATATAACTATAAATATAAAAGAAAATTAATGTTTTATGATTGTCACAGAACAGCCCGAGCTACGAATGGAAGATGTCAAAGTGAAGTATGTGATGCACTCTGTGTCTGAGCGGTTTAAACCACCAGATCAGACAGTGAACTATTAAGAGACAAGAAAATTTCGTTAAAAAGAAAAGAAAAGAGTGCTGAAGTATTATGTAATATTGGCGCTCCTACAGTGAATATTGAAAAATATTTTCATAGATGAAGAATAGGCTTGAAGCAATAGAAATGTAGCTCTACAGAAGCATGCTGAGAATAGCATGGGTCAAAGTCTTAGAGAAAAAAAAGGACACTTTAACTCGGAGAGTTGAAATTTCTCGAGCACGTAATGAGCAAAGAAGACTTGGAAAATTTGATATTCCCAAGGTATATTGAAAGTAAGAGAGACAGCGAGAAAGTAGTGCGTAACCTACCTAGAGTAAATTTGGCAGTAGATTGGCAGACAGTGGAGTAATGGATAGCGGCTCGGATTGAGGATTCGGAGTGCCGGGTTCGAATTTCAATCTAATCTATTCCATTCACTTACGTGCTAATACGCTTGAAAAAGGTATGAATCCTCTTCATCTCCCCCGCCAAAGCTCTGGGTAAATAGCAGGACAGGCCGGGTTCTATAACTTTGGATGCCAACTGGTCTACCGCAGAAAGAAATGGCAACCTATTGCAAGAAAAAGTCTGCCTCGTCAGTCTTTCGTCGTATCGAAAGATACATGATCGCCTAAGCGTGTATCACGTATAGCACATAATCGTGTAAGAGCTACAAAAGCAGGAAATTGTGGAGAGCCATGATTGCTCATGTCCCGAAGAAGAAGTAGTGACAATGGCCTAGTGAATAAACCGTTGTTTTGTCAATTTGGTAATATGATGATTGCGAGTTTAATCCCTGGTTCGGGCAGTATGTATTTGCACTCATTGGAAATAATAACTAAACAGTTATAAATGAGAACGAGACGATATTAGGATTTCGAACGCTGATTTTTAAGGCAGCAGATAGAGAGGCAAATATGCCCTCCACTTTCTGGAGGATTAGTGAAACAGTATAGTTCTCAGCAAAAGAAGTAGTGCAGATTAAATAAAATGTTCAGTTCAGAATTCTTTTTAGGTTACCCAGATCTATATACACCTGAGGAAGGCCAGAGAGCACAACGCCAGAAACGTTTTGATAACAATAACAAAAATGAGGACAGTAGTCCGAATATAAATAGTGTAAATAATACTTTTGATGCATGTGTCGAACTTTGTAAGTATCAAAAATATGTCATCATATGTAGTTTTCTACAGAAAAATTGTTAAAAGAAATGATTTGAATTCTTTTTTTATGAGAAATGAGTGCCAGTAATTTGAAACTGGTGAGACGAGCTGTAGGAGAGAGACTTTTATTTTTCCAATATTCCCGGCAGAATTGGATAAGCACAATTAATAGTCAGGCAAATAAATAAATAAATAAATAGAGGCGGGAAAAGGAGTCCATCTACTTTTCCCGCCATCCAACCACCAAAATCCAACAACGTCTAAATCGATTGCATTGTTTATTATGTCTTGCAACTAAGTACACTCCTTCCTTGCCCAGTTTTTCTCTTACCTTTGCGTCTCGCCACTTTCTAATAAATCGTTGCAAAAAAAGAAGAAAGAAAACGAAAAGGTAATGGCAATTGAGTGATGTGTGTGTGTGTGTGTGCGCGCGTGCGTGTGTGTATGTATGTATGTATGTATGTGTGTGTGTGTGTGTGTGTGTGTGTGTGTGTATGCGTGTGCGTGCGCGCATTTTTTTTTGTCTCTTTCCTCGATTCGACCGAAAATTTTATTTACGGAAATTCATTCCGAATGATAAAACTCGGTTGACTTCGATTTACCTGAACCTAACAGAATCACCAAAATGGAAATATCCTTTGTTTCTACTTTCATTTTTACTTTCGGGAATTCAATTTCGACGCACTTATTTATTTGGGGGACTTTTTTTTCCCTTTCTTATTAGACAGGGACAGATAGATTTCATTTGAATGTTTAGATTCTTTTGGATTTTATTTCTTTGCTGTTTTATCCATTTTTTTCTTTTGCAATTTCACAAGTTCTTTTTTTTTTCTTGCTTTAATTCCGTTTTTCATATTCGTAGCGTCTTCTCTTCTCGTTTCTTTCTTTTATTTTTTCTTTCTTTTTTAATATTCATTTCATAATCGTGGCATTTTCTCTACACTTTTCTTTCTTTTTGAATAATACTTTCATAGGGGTGCTGTCTTCAAATATCTTCATTATCTTTCTTTCATTCTTTCATTTTTTTTTTTACATATTCATTGTGTTTTCTCATGTTTTCCATTATTTTCTTTCATTCTTTCCTTCTTTCTTTCTTTCTTTCTTTCTTTCTTTCATTCTTTCCTTCTTTCTTTCTTTCTTTCATTCTTTGTCTTCTTTCTTTCTACATATGGCGACTTCTTTTACATCTCTTAACTTCATTTTCTTTCTTTTTTACATATTCACATCGTTTTCTCTCTCACTTCTTTCTTCCTTTTTCGTTCACCTTTATACGTATACTTTGCAGCCATTTAAAATAATTTAAACTGGCACAAGGCAACCAATAGTGAATTCCCATTGAGGCTCAAATTAACCAAGCAACAATAATTGTCAGCTTCAAAAATTCGCTAATAATGAGAATAAATGGTGAAAATGTGCCCAGAACATAAGAAAAACAAAAGTTTTATCGTCAAAATATATTTTTTTTATTAAGAGTAAAGACCATATTTTCATCATTAAATTATATTTTTGAATCCTCATTAGAATCTTTGAAAGTTTGGTTAAAAATTGTGTTTTTCTTGGGTCAACAGCTGACCATAAATTAGTCTGGGAAATTTTTGCGGTGAAAACATATTGATTTGGAAATTCTTGGAAAAAGCAAATAATTGTCGGATTTTAATGGAACTTTCAGAACTTATTCCCAAATGATGACATTATTTTAGAAACGTTTGTTTGTTTTTTTAGAAAATCTTGGTAAGCCCCCCCACACACACACACACTTACTAATTTTATGAAATTTTAAAAATTCATTTTTGTAGCGGTTAATGTTTATATTAATTGTAAGCACAAGTCTTTGGAGAATTTAAATCATCTCATTATTTTGTCAAACCTAATCCCTAATTACCAAAAATCTGATCTGAATTGTAAAATAAAAAAGTAATAAAACTAAGACATTATTTAATTAGAAAAGCTTTTAATTTCTTTTATGAATAACATTTATTATGGTAACTATTAAGAAAAAAAAACATCTTTCGATGAATACTGAATTTTTATAAAAGTTATTTTTATTTAAAAAAATAATAATTAGAATAATTTATAAATTTTTAGATCTTTGAAAATTTTTCTGTTTCGTTGTAGCGGTTAGATGATATAGTTATAAAGTAAAACTTATATTCACTAATCATAAATGAAAAAAAAAACTTTCTATAATTTAGCAACTCCCGAATATTTAAAAAAAAATTCGAATTTATTATTGTGTGTATGAACGTGAAGATTTTTGATAAATACATTCATCTATACATGACATTATCAGAAAATATAGGCCGTAACTATAGTAAATTTATAATTTACTGGTAATTTTTTACCATTTCCCTAACATGCGTCTTCGTACGACAATAAAGCCAAAGTAGAAGAATGTTTGAAATATATATTTTTTGAAGATTACTGGCTTGTCAAAATATTTCCGCCTTACGTGCATCATGCAATCGTCAGATTATAGGTAAATATGTCAACATTCATCCATGCATTCATTTATTAGAGTTAGCACATTCTGTGGTAACTACTCCCAGGATTTGCCGGAAAGTTGTCAGTGTTGACAATCAACCATCTTTGGGGCTTCCTTATGGATTTATTTTCATATCCGTGTTTTTTTTATATGAACGCAAGGTAACGGAGGTTTAAAATCAGGGAAATTAATTTCGCTCGAGGGACTGCATTCCTGGGCTGTCATGCTCTATCTAACCGAAGCAGATGGTTATGAGGAGCCTATTCTCCAACTTCACCCATTCTTCAACTTAGGCTTAGTTTTCAAAGAGACGCATACTACGGAAGCATTTTATAGACAGTGGGAGTTTGTCCCCACTATCAACTCTGGCTAGGACAACCTTTGGAACATAAGGTACGTATATAAACATGATTTTTTTTTAAAGCATTTCATCCCAAGCAAGGTGGGAGTGCCACTAGCACGCAAGCGATTACAGAGAGTGAAATTAAGAGTAAAGAGTTTGAGGAAAGGATAAAAAGAAAGAAGCAGATCAAGATCAAAAGCATCAGAAAATGTCGATTGACATTATATTTGAATATTTGAAGATTATAGCTATCGGGGAAGCAAGTAAGAGGAAGGGAGTTCCACTGTTGGGAAGTGCAAGAGAAGCTTCTGGAGTAGAAGAAGCGACTATATTTAACTTTCGACAGTGAAAAGGTGGGACTGACATGTCAACCTAGTAGAACGCTTAAATTCATGAGGTTGGGATTCCAGTGAAAGTACCTCGTCTTGAGCAGTTACCATGAAAATATTTGTAGAAAAGTGTCATATACCGTACCTATGTACACTAATGGGTATGTCGCAATCCTCATAAATACGTTTGACACTATTGTAAGTGGGGGTAATATGATGTCTAAGCTGTGGTTTACCTACATCACGCCGCTGGCGAGTATTGTATTTTGTTGATGTTATAAAAATTTCCATTTCCTGTCCCACCTCCGTTTCGATTATTCCTCATTCAGTAACCCTTTCTAGGTTACAACAAAAAGGCAGAGGGTATCCACATCACGTCTGTGAGAAAGTGACTGTAGTCGAGGTGTTAGGTATATTGCGTGTTTTAGAAGCTCCAAATGAAAAAAAAAATAACGTGCTTTTTGAATACATAGGTAAACAAATACACGAGAAAACAAGGTTTCTTTTTCGTCAGAGTCCATCTCGCACACACACACACAAGTCTGCCATTCGTCCGTGCATTGAATATTGTTGACATATATGGTCAGGTGCTCCTGCTACTCATTTTGACGATCTTGACAAAATCCAAAGAACAATCTGCAATGCAATCGATCTTGACTTGGCATCTTGACTTCAATCACTTTCTCACCGACGTGATGTGGCCTCCTTCTGTCTTTTCTACAAATATTGCTACTGCTCTGGCGAAGTTTTTTTTTTGTTTGTTGGTTTTTTTTTTTTGATGCCCGGATTACGTGAGTTTAAGCTTGCTACTAGATTGGCATCTAGGTCCCACCATTTTATTGTTGAATTAGTTAAATGAAACCGTCACTTCTACTCCAACAGTTTCTTTTCTCACACTTCTCTCCTGTGGAACTTCATTTCGTTTCCTTGCTACCCAGATAGTTACAAACTTCAAAAAATTAAATTCAACATCAATCGCCATCTTCTAAACCCTCCTTTAGATTTAATCTTTGTATTCAACCTTCACTCTCTGTAACCCCCTTGAGTATTAGTGCCATTTCTGCTTTGATTGGGGTGAAATGATTAATATATATATATATATATATATATATATATATATATATATATATATATGTTTAAAAGGAAGATAATCCGCAAACGTTTTTGCTTGAAATGTGGATTTTATTTTAAAATAAATATTATACTCTATTTTCCATAATTTTTGCTACACGGGTTTCTGGTTTCATGACCTTCTTCAAGCAAAGAATAGATAGATATTATACTCCATTTTCCATAATTCCGCTACATTATACACTTTTTCTCTCCTGGAACAACTAAATACTCTTCCTCTCTCTCTTTATATATATATATATATATATATATATATATATAATATATATATATATGTATATTTGTACAAATTCTCAATGGTACAGAATTTTATAACAGCAAGGATAATAAGTAAGTTTTTGATGGCATTTTAACTAAAAACTAAAACGAACGGTTTCGACCCAGATCTTATGAAGTTTATTTTCTGGGGATATCTTAGAGGACTAAAAAGATGAAATGAGGGAATGAGGAAAAAAAAAACAAAAAAAAACAAAAAAAAACTCAAAAAACCACTAGAGTCCAATCACATTGAGTCCGACCGAGACAGAATGGTAAAACGGTCGACACTCAAACCATACACACATTCCCTACTGTTTATAGCATGCTGTGCTATGGAAGACCCGGATGTATTCACCAGCTGACTACCACGAGCGGCCATATTCAAAATTCGGGGGTGGGGAATGTTGTTTAATTCTGAAATCCAAACGGTGAGATGTTCTACCTATGTAGTCATATCCACAACTACACACAAATTTATACACAACAGAATTAATATGGTGTGGAGGTAAAACATCTTTACGAATGGATGTCAGTCAAAATCGGCTGAGTAAAAAATATTACTCTCACATTAGTAGCCAAATAGCATTTACCGATGGAACGTGAAATTCGCCGAGCTAAAGTCTCACCTTCTGTCCCAATATAAGGTAAACGTAAATAAATTGGACATTTTTTTAACACAATGCGTCTTAACCTTATGAAAATTATCAATGACATTACTCATAATGGATTCCAAAATGTCCAAAGGATATCCATTTTTGGAAAGTGTCATCTTAATAAAATTAATTTCAACGCTGAGGAAGAAATTAGAGCAGATTTTAAGAGCTCTAAACGTCAATGTTCTAATTAAATTAATTTTACGTTGGTACGGAACAAAGGAATCCCAACGTGTATATAAACCTGAAAAGGTTGCCTTCCTAAAAACTGAAGTCGAAAAGCCATCACTGTTCTTATGGACCAAAACAACCAAAAAAGACAAACAACAATTCGACTCCTTTTCAACGGTGAACTTTAAGGACGGATGAACAGAATTTAGTACGGTGAGAAAAGAGTCAGCTTCACCTTCATCATTAAAGAGGCAACAAGTATCATCCACATAGCGATGATACATTTGAGGCTGATAAATACGAGAAAATAATAGGGCCTCGTGAAAACCAACAAAAATGTTAGCAAGCGAAGGACCCAAAGGAGATCCCATCGCAACCCCGTCAATTTGTCGATACATGATATTATTGAAACTGAATTCAACTGAAAGGTGTCGAACTTCATCAAATCAATAAACGCCCTCTCAGAAAAATTCGGGGGTGACAATGAGGAACGGTATAACATGTCACAGCAGATATATATTGTCTCAACCAAAGGGACACGGATGAACAGCGAAAAAATGTCAAAGAAACACATGAAACCACTACTGAGGGGATAATTATGTATGGATTCGACAAAGGAAAAGGACTCCTTAACACAGAAAGAACTAAAGTGTAACAACACAAGTTGCAACACTATTGACAACCAACTAGCGGCCTTATGCTGGGCAGACCCAATCATTGACAAAGTATTGCGTAATGGGATACCCTGTTTATGTTTATATATATATATATATATATATATATATATATATATATATATATATATATATATAACCCATATATATGAGTTCAAGAAAGACATTTGGATCACTGGCACACAAAAATGTGAATGTCTAATATCGAGAAAATTTAACAACGAAAAACATAAGAAAATTAATTCCTTTTAATAATAGATGGAAATATCTACCATTTGCCCGATGAAGGTCGCTAGACTGGAAACACGTGTAGCAAAATTATGGAAAATAAAGCATAATATATTTTTTTTAAAAAATACACATTACAAACAAAAATATTTGCGGTTTCTCTCTTCTTTTTAATATACACACTTTTCTCTCGTTGGAACGACTATAACCTCTTCCCTTTATATATATATATATATATATATATATATATATAAAGAAAGAACAGTAAGATATATAATCCAGTGTTCTTAATGATATTTTTTATTTTTACAAAATAGTGCTCAATGTAAATTTACAGAGCATTAATATTATAAATTAACAGATTTAAAATATTTTTCGCTACACAGTAATAACCATGTTTCAAAAATGGAAGCTAAAAGCTTCAAATTTAATTTTGTAATTACATTAAAAACATTAGTTCCATTTCATCCTCAAGCGAATTTTAAAGTAACTTATTTTTTAAAATTTCTGAGTTTTAAAGGCAAAAAAAAAATTCATAATTCACTGTTTCCAAGGATACAGAGAGATCCAATCATTCAGACAAATGGAGTAGCGTGTTCATTTTTATTAACTTTTGTTGTATCAGTTATTAGTTACGTTCGAAAAAGGGATTATGTTTAGGTCGGCTAGGGATGGATTTATCAACGAATACTGACATCCGTTAAATCCATATCGTCTGAGGTTTTTTTTAAATTTTATTGTTAAAGGCAAGACATTCTTACGGTATTTTTTCTGTTTGTATACTTAAAGATTTTTTGAGGATGTTTAGGTTAGAATACGTTTTATTTAGCTACAAATAGAATTACTTACAGTATATAAAATTATTTTCTAATATTAAGTATAAGTAAGTATATAACCAGGTCACATTTTTTTTTTAATATCATTTTTAAATATTATTTAAGGAAAATTTTGACAATGACGGCAAAAAATAGCTAATTCATTTCTCTGATCCAGTGAGATTTTATTTTTCTATACATGAGAAGCTATATATTACTAAGTTTATAAAATTAAAATCTTACTGGATCAGAGAAACGATATTTTATTGAATGTTGTCCGGGGTACTTGGTATAATACTAGTTTCTATGCTTTTGAGTCTTTTCATGCATTGGGCGCACTAGAGTATTTTGATAATAGCCACAAAGGTATTTTAACTACCACACATATACAACATCGGATCATGATAATGAATTTAACCAAATAATTAGATATTTGTCATAAAAAACTTCTTTTTAAAATGAGATAAACAATACTTCAACATTATCCGCATTTTCACCTTCACGCGGATAAACCTATAATAATAGCTTCTCTGCCTTTGAGTCTTTCCTTGCATTGGGTGCTGTAGAATATTTTGGTGTTATCCACTAATATTTATCTTATGTTGACATTTGTACTTTGGTCGTTCATGATGTGTGCACGGATTGCACAATGTTTCGACAGGTGACAGGTGAATCTGCGGGAAAATTTGGTGAATGATATTTTATTGAATGTTGTGCAGGGTACGTTGTATAATAATAGCTTCTATGCCTTTGAGTCTTTCCTTGCATTGGGTGCTGTTGAATATTTTGGTGTTATCCACTAATATTTATCTTTTTTTGATAGTTGTACTTTGGTCATTCATGATGTGCTGGTCGATGTGTACACGGATTGCACAATGTTTCGACAGGTGACAGGTCCATCTGCAGGAGAGTGTGGTGAATGATATTTTATTGAATGTTGTGCGGGGTACTTTGTATAATACTAGTTTCTATGCTTTTGAGTCTTTTGATAATACCCACAAAGTTATTTTAACTACCACACAGATACCACATCAATGCTGCGATAGTCGAAAGTACTTGAACAAAACACAACAAAAATATAAACTTCAGACAGTTTGTTCACAACTTCGGGAACAATACCCAACACATTCGAAAATTGGAAAATACAATAAAAGAATTAATAGACAGATATTATCATCTATTTTTGATCAAACTAGTTTGTATATATATATATATATATATATATATATATATATATATATATATATGGTTACGTCCACTTTTTCGCTAAAAAACAGCATAGCATGATGTAAAAAGGGCCAAAACTTAACAAAAAAAAAAAATTATCGTCAAAATATTTCTGTTATTATTAAGAGGAAAGACCAAAGTATTTTCAATTATTTAAAAACTTATTTAAAAAATTATTTAACTATTTAAAAAAAATCTCTTTACTCATTTTATAACACATTCGAAATTTTATTTGAATTTTCTTTTTAGGCGTCAACGGTGTAACAGAGCTGATTATGGGAGTTGTAGAACCTTTTTACAGTAAAATAGTCCGAATAATGTAAATAATGAATATAATTTCTGTTTGAAATACACTACAGAATATTATGGTTACTGGAAATAGTAAATGTAACCCTTTAGCTTCCAATTACAGCGAAAATGAAAGCTTCAAGAAAGATTTCTTTTAATTTAAAAAATTCATTTTAAACCTTAGGTATCGCGCATTATTCTCAAATAAGAGGAGGTACCTAACACACACACACACACACACACACATATATATATAGCATAATGAGAAGCCACGTATACTTTCTTAATATTTATATATAGAAAAAACAACTAAAAAGTTGCAAATTAAAAAATAATAATGTTTTCCTATGAAAGTATTTATTCATATATATACATATATACGCACACTATTTAGAGTAGTCGGACTATTGCCATATTTATTACAAAGTTTTGGCCGTTGTACGCTCCGGCCTTCTTCAGTTGGTTGGTATGTCGAACTGAACCCTTTATTTCGCTCACTGTTCTAGCTGCACGTGCCATATTGGATGCCAGTTATCAGTTATCTCCTGTTAATTTCCCTCTCCACGTTTTCCACCGCCTTAACCAGGTATTGAACTCACACTCTTTGGGTCCTGTCACTGGATCTAAATAATGCCTTTATCCACTGTGCCATGTGTCCTGAGTGTGAATATCTGATTATTATAAATCTAATGTCTTCAGCAACTATTTTCTTACCAGTGCTCATATTGCAATTTTTTGCTGTTATCATTACGTGTTTCTAACAAATTGCAATTTTTATTGTTATTATCGCTTTTCCCTGACACTTCTTATTACTGGTTCCCATATTGTATTCATTTCTATGCTTGGTCCGCTCAGGAGATTATTGTAGCCTAGGATATGTGCTGATTCCTTAACTTTACGAATTTTCCAATGGTGTTTTCTGTCTATGATCTCAATCTGATTCCACAGGGCGGTGATCACCCTTTTCTCTTCATATGTGGTCAGCCACGCCAGATATTTCCACTTCCCCTCGTGTTACAGCTTTTCATATATATATATTTATATATATATATATATATATATGTATGTGTGTGTGTGTGTGTGTGTGTGTGTGTGTTAATGTGTCTGATAAAACTGACTTTATCACTCAGAATAGATTGTAAGTTGAGCAGTGCGAAAAAACATCACTTAGCGATGGAGAATGAGACTGAAGTTTCTCAGCCGAGGGAATTTTCTGGGTTGTGATTGTTACGTCATGTTTGGCTATGAGCAATGTTCACTTGACTTTTATAGCACTCATAAAAACGAGCACTTTTGCAGTTGAAAGTTGGAAAAAGGCGAAGAAGAGGTTTGAGACGAGCGGGTTCGTTTTGAATCATTCGAAATACCGTTAATCGATATGGTTGGATTCAGTAAACCTCCAGAAACGAGAAGCAGAAAACATCCCGAGTTAGAGAAAAAATCAGAATCTTTGAATCTTTGGACAAGAGAGCAAAAACTTTGTCATCAATTCTTCTTGGCATTTTATGGAAGAGGGAAAAAGAGAATAAAAATTAAAAAAAGCGAAAATATTGAGGGAAAGAATAAATCTATTTTGTCTTTTTTCTTTCTTTCTTTTTCTTTAATTTTCTTTTTACTTTTTTCTTTTACTTTTCTTTGCTTCCCTTTCCTCTTTTCAATTTTCTTTTTTAGTTTTCCATTTATCTTTCAATTTGATTTTTTCTGTCTTTTTTCTTTTTCTGTCTTTTTTAATAAAATGGCGTCTGTTATTTTCCAATTTTCATTTTCACATTCTCTTTAATCTCTACTTTTTCTTTCTTTCACTTCTTTTCTCGAATCTCTCTCTCATCTACTTTCCCCCCCCTTTCCTTTCTCATTACATCTTCTATTCTCCTCCTCTTTATTTCCTTTCTTTGCTTCTATTTTGCTTTTATTTGTTTTTCGTTCTCGTTCTTTTCTCTCTCATGTTTTCATTGTTTGTTTTTTCTCCTTTTTTGTTCACTCATTTTTCCTTTTTGATGTTCTTTCCTTTTTTCTTAACTCTTTTCTTCTTCTTCTTCTCTCTTTTTTTTGCTTCTATTTCATTTCTTTTTTTATTTCTATGCGTTCTCATATGTTTCTTCTTAACTATTTTTTTGTCTCTTTTATATTCTTTCCATTTATATCTATTTACTCTCAAGTTTTTCTTCATCGTTTATTAATACTTCTTTTATTTTTTCTTCAAACTCATTTCTTTCTCTTTTATCTTCGCTCTTTTAGATTCCTTTTCTCTCTTTTTTCTCTCTTTTCTTTTTCTTTTCTCTTTTCAGTTTTACCATTTTAATTTCTGTCTCTTTTCCCTTTCTTTTATCACTTTTCTTTATCTTTTATTTTACTTTCCACATTTTTTTCTGTTTTCTTCTTTTGTTATCCCTTTTCGTTTTTTCTTTTCTCTTCTTTTCTTCCTTCCTTTCTTTCTTTCTCCCTTTGCTTTTATCTCTTATCTTTTCTTTCTATTTTCTTTTTCTCACAGGTTCATTTTTCTTTTGCCTCCTTTTTCTCATCCTTATTTTCACTTCTTTTTTCGTCTTTCGCATTTCTTATTCTCTTCTCTCATTTTTATTTTTCCCATTGCACATTTTTATTCTCTCTTTTCGCTTTTTTTTCCTCGTTGTTTTTCTTCTTGCTCTTTTTTCTTTTTCTTCTTTCTTTTCTTCTGTCTTTCTACCACTAATTTTGCTTACTTTTATTGAATCTTTCTTTTACCTTGTTTTTTTTTTCACTGTTTTTATTCTCTTTCAACTCTTTCTTTCTTTATTCATTCTCCCCTTCATTTCTCCTGTAATTCGCCTTCTTCATTGATTTCTTCTCTCTGGATTATTTACATTTCTCGCTCTCTCGGCATCAGGCTCTTTCTCCATTTTTTATTTCTTTTCTCTCTTTTTACTTCCTTCTTTTACAAATAAACTTTTCTTCTTCAAATTTTATTTCTCTTCCTTCTCTTTTCTTTTATATTGGCCTATCTCTTCTTCACCTTTATTTTTCTTCTTCCTCTTTACTTATACTCATCTCCCGTTTTCTTCATTCCCTATTTGTCTGTTTCTCGGTTTATCATTCTTTCTTTTTTCTTCAACTGCATTTCTCTTTTTTCTTAGTTTTTTCTTTCTTATACTCTCATTCATTGTCTATAGTTTTTCTCTTCATTTTTTTCTTCTCTCGTCACTTTTATCTCTCTTTTCTTCTCCCTTCCATTTCCTCTCTCTTTTCTTCTCTCTTCCCTTTCATATCTCTTTTCTTCTCTCTTCCCTTTCATATATTTTTTCTTCTCTCTTCCCTTTCATCTCTCTTGTATTCTCTCTTCTCTTTCATCTCTCTTTTCTTCTCTCTTCTCTTTCATCTCTCTTTTCTTCTCTCTTCACTTTCATCTCTCTTTTCTTCTCTCTTCTCTTTCATCTCTCTTTTCTTCTCTCGTCCCTTTCATCTCTTTTTTCTTCTCTCTTCCATTTCATATGCCTTTTCTTCTCTCTTCCCTTTCATCTCTCTTCCCTCTCTCTTTTCATCTCCCTTTTCTTCTATTTCTTTCGAACATTCTACTTCTTCTCCAACTTCTACATGTCTTCTTCTTCTTTTTCATCTTCGTCTCTCTCTACATTACTTTTTCAAAAACTATCTGAGTTGATTTAGAAAAACAGAAATTATTGTATTTTTACCGCGGTTATATTAATGGTGTCCTCTTGATCAGAGAAATTATCTTTTAATTCATTTAATAGTGACACATTGCTTGATCCTGTGAATACCGATCAAGTCAGCTAGTAGTGATATTATAATTACTAGTTTTGCCCACAAAGGCATCTGCTCACTGTTGTAATCTGCTTATACAACATTTTGTTTTATCAATTTTATTCTTTCTCTTACAGAATATAAAAATACAGAAATAATTGTGCTTTTAATCATTAAAACTCGGCAAAAAACGTTTTCTCATTTTCCATTAATCAGCAATTTTTTTTCTTTTGAGTGACACCAAAGGATACAGCTCACTCGTACAGCTGAGGGCCTAAAGGTTTGAGGTTATATTTCTTAAACCCGAACAGCTCCTTAACGCTAACATTAACCTTAAAATGAAATAATGCTCTAGGCATTTACTAAATTTACATTAATTCTTTCGCACGATTAAGTTTATAATAATAATGATCTTTTTTGTCGTTTTGTTTAATCATTTGATCCAAAGCAACGCAATAAAGTCACTAAGACGCAAGGGATTTATCGAGTGTGAGAGAATATGAGAAAAAGAAAACATTCTTATTGAGAAAGAATAAAAGAAGAGGAATTACGAATACAAAAGATAAGGATTGAAAATTACATTTAGACTTTTGAAGATAAAAATTGACTGGAAAGCAATAAGCCGGAAGAGAAAAAAAAAACTGTTAGAATAGTACATACGGTTATATTTAGTCATTTGAACTTTTGAGGAGACCTTGCCGCTAATCTGGTAGTAAGTTTGAATTCATAAATTTTAGGTTCTAAAGAGGAAATCTCGTTAATACAATCCCTATGGAAATATTCATACCAAAGGCACAGGAAGCGACATTATTGTGGTAAAAAGTGACTGAAACAGATTGTCAAAAGAACTAATTATTGAACTACGGTGGATAACTTTTAGCTAGGGGTACTAATTAAAGTTTAAAATAAACCCAAATAGGATGAATATCGATTGAGAATTAAACTAATCATACAGGCGAAGAAATAACCCAATAATTTGAAATAAAACCAACGTCATAATTTTAGCGCTCAATTAATTAATTTTATATGGTCGATAGCAAATCTTCGGATAAAAAAATGTTATCTTTCTCCCGATTCAAAAAAATAAAAATCCTAAATAATCAGTGGCTGGGTGGATGTTAGTACAAAACTTTATAAGGTTTTAAAATATATATATTAATATATATATATATATATATATATATATATATATATATATATATATATATATATATATATATATATATATATATATGTAAAAACAAATATACGGATATAGATCCGACAGTATGAAGAAAATATACGGAAAAATCAAACAAAAATCCTAATATGCAATTATGCTGTTTTTATGTTAATATAATGTCAACGTCGGACGTTTCGGTCTCATAGACCATCTTCAGGACATATTCATAAAACATAATTAACATAGACCATATTCAATTCAACTTGAAAAAGACAATGGACATAAAAGCAAGACAAATCCAAACAGATAACTGAAATCTTTTATAAGATCAGCGTTCCGTTTAAATATGATCACGTCGTCGTCACACTGTGAACACTAGACCTGGCTTCTTTAATATTTCCCCTTTTCTAGCAAGATTAATGCTCGACAAACGTACATATAAGTTTTAGATCAAAATAAAATTCTTTTCGTTTTTCATTCAAAATACTCAAATTTTAGGAATACGTTTTCACAACATCGCCCACGTGATACGTATATTTATGTATATATTTATATGTGTGTATATATATATATATGTGTATATATGTATGCTTGTGGATGTATATGTGTGTGTTGACACCTATTATGAGATTGTTGGTGTGTATGTGTAGGTATGGAAATTTTGGTTTGTCATTACTGCCACATGAGTTAATTTATGTGTGTGTATATATGTTTATGTATTGGTGTGTGTATATATGTATATTTATGTGAGTATGTGTGCATAAATGTGTGTATATATATATGTGTATGTGCCTATGTATGTATGTATATGTATGTATACTTATTATAATAAATGTGTATATGTATGTATATGTTTATGTTTATGTATTTATATGTATGTATTTCTATGTATATATATATGTATATGTGTTTATGTATGTATGTGTATGTATATATATGTATGTGTTTATGTATTTATGTGTGTATATATATGTATGTGTATTTATATGTGTGTGTATGTGTACATATATATATATATATATATATATATATATATATAGATAGATAGATAGATAGATAGATATAGATATATGTATATGTGTGTTGGTTCATCTTTGCTGCCACGTGTATATATGTGTATATATGTGTATGTATGTATGTACTTATGACTATACACTTATTTCCGTAGGTATTTCTTTTTATCCTGTTTTCCTTCGCCTAATATATTATCAACTTATATGATTAAAATATGTTTTTATTGATATTTGTGGATTTGGAATTTTCGTTTTTTAATATATCAAATAATATTATTTTTAAGCATTTTTATATTTGTATATTTGCTCGCTTAAGTTATATTTTAATAAGTGGCTAGCATTTATTTAATGACACTTTCAGTCTTAAATATTTATTGGTTGTGGTATCTGATTGTCTAGGTCATTGTCTGTGGATGTGTGTACATGTATTTATCGGTGTCTATGTGTATGGAAAGTGCATTCACTTTTAATTATGTATGTATGTATGTGTTTGTTTCCCCCCCACTTTTTTTTTTCATAAAGGGCCGTGGAGATGTTCTCTGTCTCGTCACTTTTTTGTGTGTGTATATATATCTAAATATGTGTGGGTGCTTATGTATTATAATCTGATTGTGTTTGTGTTGTTTTACGAGTGATTTTACGACCCCATTCGCACATTTGGGATTAAAATGTATACATATATATTGTCGGAGGACCGGATGGAGTAACGTCTTATTCTAACGTAATTTCAACGAAGAAATAAATTGAATAACATATGTATTTCCCCTTTTCTCTTCGATAATTTTATAATTTTAAACTTAATAGAGATTAAATTTGGATTTTAAAATTGGCAGTTTTTAATTTTAATAGCAAATTCTATCATATAATTTAATAATTATTGGTTAGAATAAATTCTTTTTTTAATTTTACCTGTATTTTAACGATCTAAATAGCTATTATAACATGACTTCGTTGTCAGGCTTTTGGAATTTTCCTATAATTGTATTTTGATTGGTCATTCTAGCTTTTAGAACAACGTATTACCCTTGTGAAAGATCGTTAACTAATTTGAAACTTTTAAAATCATTTGTTTTGCATTCAGCATCATCACTTGATAAGACACCGGGAGTGTTTAAACAAAATGGCTATTTTTGTAGTGATTTTATAACATGTTTATGTTATATATATATATAAACAAAGAGGTAGGAACATCAATCCACCCCAGACCCCACCCAAATTACCTATCGTAAAAATATAACAAAAAAAAAAAAAAATCAAAAAGGAGCTGGCTGGTTACAGATCCTTGCTCTTCAGAGCTCAATCGAAGACAAAACATAAATATGTGTAAAACGACTAAAAAGAACTGGAAAATTACTACCAGCAAAACAGGTATGCTATAATTTATTGGCTAAGTGCTCAATATCAGGGATAAGAGCGTATGTCAATATAAAAGTGGACATTGAATCCATACCATAATTACACATGAGATATTTGACCAAAGTATTGAGCCAGGATACAAAAGCAATACAACATAAATTGTATTTAATCATAATGTATTCATGTTTTCAGCAAATGCCAGGTTCAGTTTGAACTCGGTACGCCAATTTCACTCGCACAACGATTATTTTTTGGAAGGTGGGAGGTGTTTGTGTTTGTGTGCACATATGTGTGCATGTCTAATCGGATGTTTCTGACAACATAAAAACCAATGTAGTTCTTTTTTCTTTTCTTGTATGGACAAAATTTCACTCTCATAAACTCGGGATTAATACGCTTAATACGTCTGTATTTCTTATATCTGCTTTCAATTTTGTTTTCAATTTCTCGGCGGGGACGGCGCCCTCCTCCTTCTTCTCTCGTTAACACTGAGGCTGGCCTTTTCTCACTCGGATCCCACATTGCAAATGAAACGTTCTCGCTTTTGCAAGATCGGACGCTCGTTTTGATTGGATTACGAATGAAATAATAATCTACTCGGGAGGAAAAGTATGAAAAGAGTGAAGAGAAAATACAGAAAATAGAACAAAAAAAAAAACAAAAAAAAACGTCGAAATGAAATGAGAATATATATATACTCGTTGTTCAATCGTCTGAAATTCTTGTTGGCTTCCGTTTTCTTGTGTTTTTTTTTTCATTGCGAGTACCACTTGGCGTCCTACACACAGGCAAACACACAAGTAGACACACAGATGCACTATCTGTCACAGTCAATTCATATCTATCTGATTATTACGTGGTGTAATGGTTATCAGGCTTGTCTCGCTCGACCAATTACGACTGATTAGTGAGTTCGATCCTCACTGAGTACCTAATACTTCAGGCTGCGTAACACATCTAAGCTAGCCTTAGAAAATCACCATTTTCATCTATTTATTGCAGTGAATTCTTATTTATTTACCTATCTATCTCGGTCTATTCACATCCCTGTATCTATCTGAATCTCCGTCAATATTTCTGAGATGAGGTATTATATACACTATTTACATTATTCGGATTATTGTCCTCATCTTTGTCACCATATTTATTACAAAGTTTCAGCCTTTCAGTATCTGTCTATATTTCTGAGATGTAGTATTATGTACACTATTTACATTATTCGGATTATTGTCTTCATCTTTGTTGTCATATTTATTACAACGTTTCAGCCTTTCAGTATCTGTCTATGTTTCTGAGATGAGGTATTATGTACACTATTTACATTATTCGGACTATTGTCCTCATCTTTGTTGCCATATTTATTACAACGTTTCAGCCTTTCAGTATCTGTCTATATTTCTGATATGATGTATTATGTACACTATTCGGACTATTGTCCTCATCTTTGTTGCCATATTTATCATAACGTTTCGGCCTTTCAGTATCTGTCAATATTTCTGAGATGAGGAATTATGGACACTATTTAGATTATTCGGACTATTGTCCTCATCTTTGTTGCCATATTTATCACAACGTTTCGGTCAATGTACGCGCCGGCCTTCTTCAGGTGTTTAGAATGTCGAATGGAACACTTAAGGACACATGGCACAGTGGATAAAGGCGATGGTTAGATCCAGTGACAGGACCCAAAGAGTGTGAGTTCAATACCTGGTTAAGGCGGGGGAAAACTTGGAGAGGGGAATTAACAAGAGATAACAGATAACTGACATCCATTAAAACATGGCACGTGGAACTAGAACAGTCTACTACACTGAAAGAAATAAAGGGTTCAATTTGACATTCCAACTACCTGAAGAAGGCAGGAGCGTACAACGACCAAAACGTTGTGATAAATATGGCAACAAAGATGGGGACAATAGTCCGAATAATGTAAATAGTGTACATAATACCTCATCTCAGAAATATAGACAGATACTGAAAGGCTGAAACGTTGTAATAAATATGGCAACAAAGATGAGGACAATAATCCGAATAATGTAAATAGTGTACATAATACTACATCTCAGAAATATAGACAGATACTGAAAGGCTGAAACTTTGTAATAAATATGGTGACAAAGATGAGGACAATAATCCGAATAATGTAAATAGTGTATATAATACCTCATCTCAGAAATATAGACAGGTGCTGAAAGGCTGAAACGTTGTAATAAATATGGCAACAAAGATGAGGACAATAGTCCGAATAATGTAAATAGTGTACATAATACCTCATCTCAGAAATATAGACAGATACTGAAAGGCTGAAACATTGTAATAAATATGACGACAAAGATGAGGACAATAGTCCGAATAATGTAAATAGTGTCTGTGTCCGTTCACATCTATCTATACCGTTTAGGCGCGGCTGTTTTTAGCCTTCCTTTTATATTTTTATTTATAAATCTATTCCAGCCTATTCACATCTATCTATCTATCTATCTATCTATCTATCTATCTATCTATCTATCTATCTATCTATCTCTTCCACTCTGTTCCTATCTATCTATCTATCTATCTATCTATCTATCTATCTATCTATCTATCTATCTATCCCAGTCTATTCAAATGTATCTACCGTGACGGATCGGTGTTCTGTCAAGCACCCTCCTTGACTTGAACGTCTATTGGGATTCAGATTCGTAGACCTTAAATGGAACTCATATAAACGATCCTGGAAAAGATGTAAAGATACTGGAAAAATGGTTGGTTCAAGATACGACTCCAGTAAGTAGCTGAAACTCCCTGCTTCACTCTATCTTTACAAAAGTTAGGTAAGATCAAAAATGGAATATATCTACAGTATCAGGGCTGGAGCTACCCAGTCTTCACTTGCCTGTCTTAATAGAGTTCCAAAGTGTCTACGCGGCCTTGTGGATGATGATCTATTTTCAACTCTAGAACTCCTTTCCTTACAGACAAAATATCGCAAGACTCTCATTTTTCCATTTACTCCTTATATTTTGTGCAGATTCTTTTCTCAATAACTATAACCTTGATCTCTCCAAGTCTAGACGAAACCGTTAGTTTTCCTATATAACCTCATGAACTGGCTTTTTTCTTACTCCTTGTTTTTTTTTCTTACGTTCAAACAATACCACACAGTAACGCTCTACATTGAAGGAACATGAATAAAAAGTAACCTTATTCTGTTCGTATGTATGTATGTATGTATGTATGTATCTATCTATCTATCTATCTATATCAGTCCTTTTCATATCTATCTATCTATCTATCTATCTATCTATCTATCTATCTATCTATCTATCTATCTATCTCAGTCCTTTTCATATCTATCTATCTATCTATCTATCTATCTATCTATCTATCTATCTCAGTCCTTTTCATGTCTGTCTATCTATCTATCTATCTATCTATCTATCTATCTATCTATGTCAGTTCTTTTCTTTCTATCTATCTATCATCTATCTATCATCTATCTATCTATCTATCTATCTATGTCAGTCCTTTTCATATCTATCTATCTATCTATCTATCTATCTATCTATCTATCTCAGTCCTTTTCATATCTATCTATCTATCTATCTATATATCTATCTATCTATCTATCCTAACTCTTTTCGCATTTATCGCCTGTATTCTCTTTATATCTACCGCAATCTCCCCATATCCCTTAATATTCAATGTCTGTAATCAGTAGACACAAGTTACTGCTGTACAAAGCTAACCGGAACTCAGTTGGCGATAAATTGTGTTGTGCCAATCATTTGTACGGTAAGGAAAGCTCTGTATGAAAATATTTCTTCATTTTTTTTCCATAATTTGACAAATGGCAAATAACCTTTTGGCCAAAATCAGAAGACTTTCACCTCATTATTCTCTCTACAATCAATAATCAATAATCAATCTATAATCAACATCTGTCGTAATTATCCTATTTTATGATCAGATTGGATAATAAACTCAACATATTATTTCACTGTCTGCCCACAAAATCATTAACGGAGGGGGAGTAAAAATGTCATTAGTTGTCCATATCAAGTAATAAAAGAATTCGTTTTGCATTCGTCTGTTGTCGTTATTTGAAATTATCATTATATCCTTGGGGAATGAGTTTAATGTTTGTATTTTCTCCATCTACAATATATGCTACATTATTTAAAGAAACGGCTGATAAAATTATTGTATGAGCTCTGATCAAAAAGTATTGATACAAGTGCTATAAAAAGAAAACTACAACATATAAATTTAGCATTTAATCTCCTTCGAAATAGTCACCTTCTGAGGCCACACACATCGATTCCATTGATTCCTGGAACTCTTTTTCTGCAGCCTTGTCTTATTCTCTTCGCTTTCATCGACGTCTTGAAATCTTGTTCCTTACAAATGGGATTTGATTTTTGATGAAGAAAAATTCACAAGGACCGAGATCTGGGTAAATATGGCGATTATCGGATCTGGAGAATGTTTTTGATGAAAATCTTTGCTGTGGTTAGATGACCATATTCTATATACCTTCCTTCCCATCAATGCTATAAAAATTGGTTGTGAGTGAAAACGTTATAAGCTTATTGTGTATAAGCGACAGAATTCAAAGTGAATCTATGACAAGCGGCTTCAATCTACGTATTTTAGCTACGTTACCATAACAGCAGCCCCTGTACTTTTTGATCAGACCAATAAGTATTATACAATCCGAAAAGTTTCACGCCTACCGAAAGCCTGCATGGGACAGGCAAGAAGTTCTACATGAGCTGCAAAAGAAGGTCTACTAACGCCAAGGTTATGCAAAAACTTCACATTTGGCTAGCTATGCGATTTGCTTAAGAAAATTGTGCCTGTGGGAGGGAATTATCCATAGTAATTTTCAAAGAGCCAAATAACTTGCTAAACAAAAAAAAATAATTTGTGGCAAAAAGTGTGAAAATGGCTTGACGATTGCGTCTAGCATGAAACAGCCTGTCGCCTCTAAGTGTTGACTTCAATGTTCACTTTTATATTTACACACGCCCTATCTCTGATATTGAACACTTTATCCAATAAATATAGCATATTTTAAGACTATATTTCTTCATATATATATATATATATATATATATATATATATATATATATATATATATATATCCTTGTGCAAATTAGTTGAAACAAAAC